CACACGGGAGAATTTCAAGAGGCCGTTGGCACTTCGTTGTAGAAATAACTCAGCTCAGCTACTTGCAGATCTGTGCCAAAACTGTGTGTGTCTGAAGCTGGTCTTTATCCCCATTTATTCTCTTTGAGAAACTCATCAGGACTTGTTATTTCTTTTCTACTTTGCAATGCAGTGGAGGAAAAAAAGGAGAGCTTTTCTTTGGAAGTGAAGCCTGCTTGACATGGGGCTGGGGCAGTGGGGAGGAGAAGAGAAACAAACATCGCTTTTCTCTCAGGAACATTTTGTGCAATCTGTTGTGTTTATAGCATCCAGGGTGCCATCTGGACGGAACACTGTTATTCCAGGCTGTATTTGGGGCAACCATAGAAAACAAAAACAGGGATTTCCCTTTGAGGATTGATGGGTGGAGTGGAGAACGGTGGTGATACCATCTCAGCAGGGCTTCCGATCCATCCCAGCTTTTATTCTGAATAGAATTTGTGGGGCTGAACTCCGTCCCCGAGGAGGTTCATTGCCACGGAGCACCACGGACAGTTCCTCAGAATTAAAGCTGGAGAAGAACCCAAAGTAGAAATGCCCAATGCCCTTTGGGGTTAACCCTGCTTCTTTTTCCAGGGGAGCTGCTCTGGCTCCCATCTGAGTTTTTCCAGAGCTTTCCTTGGCATCCAGTTGATGCTGGTGCAGCGTGGCGTTCGGGACTCTGGCCAGCTCCTTCGACGCACCACCTGGAGTGCCTACACTGCTCCTTGGTCACTGGAGAATCTGCACCGGGGATGACTCCTGAAAAGCTCAGAGTTAAAGCTGCAGTGGGTAAAGAACCCCCTTGACACTGGAGTCATCAGCGTACTTTGGGGCTGATCCTGGCTCTCCTTCCAGTGAAGGCGGGAGTTTCCGGTATGAGTGGTCTGGTTATATTCTGACCTATTAAGGAACATGATTCTGGACACTTCCTGCAAAACAGCAAGCTAGGCTCAGCTCTGTGAATAGTTCCCCAAAAGGTCCAGACTGAAAGTCGCACTGGATAAGGGGTCCCCAGCCTTCCCTGGGGGAATGGACAGCACCTGTTTTGATGCGGAAGCACCCAGCATCCTCGTCATCCTGTACCAGGATGCACAGAGACCTCCCGACTGCCAGGAAAGACAAGGATTTCACCCTCTTCAAGGGAGTAGGAAGAATATGATCCTGAGAAGATGTCCCAGAACGGGCAAAGGTCAGATGCTACACAGGTATGGCAGGTCCTGAAATAAAGACCGAGTCAAGAACAGGTAGGATAGTCCAGAGATAAGTTAGGATGCCGCTGGACTTGCAGCTGAAGTCCACCTAGCAATGCATGCCACAAAGACACCTGTTCTTGTAACCAAGCAGGAGCACAGGCTGTTCGAATCTCTGTAGCTCCCAGGTGGTGTGCCTGCTGGCAGGACCCAATCCTGCAAGCACTTGCAAGCTATCTGCCCAGCCCGGCCACCAGCGGGAGCCACAGTACCCTGCAGATCCTGACAAGGGGATTTTGGAAAGCTGAGCTTCCAGGATCACTCCCCATCTGCACTCAGAGTCGGCCAGGAACAGGAGGCAAGGAGCAAGCACAGGGCCGACGAGGGGACGCCTGCTCGGGCAGCAGCAGAGGGTCCGCACGTCGGCAGCCCCCCCCCCCACTGGCAAGGAGTGCTGGTGTTGTGAACCTGGGCCTTCCCTTCCTGCCCTCAGGCTCCAGCACACCGGTCTCGACAGGCCCTTCACAAAGCAATGCTAAAAGGCGAGTTGGAAGATAAGCCTCTGCTCATGTCAAGAGTGCAGAACCCACCCTACAAACTACTCCCCCAAGCCCTCCCCTTTCAGTAACTTTACCCACTGGCTCCCACCGGGGAAGGGCTGGCCGGTGAGACCTACAGAGGCCCTCTAAATCGGCATCTCCTCTCCCCCGATCTTCCGGGATCCCCCCAAAACTAGAACTGGCTTTGTGTGAGAGCCACCTCCCCTTCCCCGAAGTGCTGGCAGAACCCCAGAAGCCCCTCTAATTTGCTGCAAGAGATATGCGCTTCACCTTACTGTCCCCGTCACACAGCTCTAGCGGGAACGCTTTGCGCTGCCTGCCGAAGAGTCTAATTTTAAGTCTCTTGGCAGGTTTTGCACCTTATTGTATTTTTACACACCATACTTGACTCTCTTCCCCGCTCTCTCCACAATTATCCTTGTCTCAGGAAAACTCAATGTGGCAAGTAAACAACATCAAGATGCAAGGCGAAGCGCAAGGAGATTTCCCAGGCTCACGGCACCTCGGGCTCCTATTTCTGTTGCTAGAAATGGCTAGAACGGCTATTCCTGTTTCTTGACAGTCTTCAGCTTTCCCACTGCCCAGCATCCACAGACCCCTCTCCTGGCCTGCTAAACTGTACCACCCAACCCATGTGCCCCAGTAGTGCACAAGTTTCCTAGCAAGCTGAACAAACCTCTTTTCCCCCAAGCCGTGCAGTTTGTCCCTACTGCAGATTTCAAGCATTTGTGAACTTTTTGTGACAGCGCAGCAGCGGGACCGGCCTCCGCATCTTCCTACAGCAAGCCACCAAAAATGCCAGGAAAGGACACCTGGACATCCATTTTTCTGCCACCCCAGTGTCTCCATTGAAGGTGCCAGCCAGCCTTGCCCATTTCCTGGATACTCCATTCCGCATCTCCAGTGTTCCATTTTCTCCCAGTGGCCAACCTTTCCTACCCTCAGAGCCATGCTTAGTTCTCACCGAGCTGTTCCAAGCAGTGCGATGCCCCACTCCCAAAGGGGTTTTGTCCCCAGGGAGCTGTTCAAGTTATACCTGTGCTGCCGTCTTTGTAACCGATGACATTTATTTAGGAAATTTCTATGCCGCCTCGTTCGCCGAAGCCTCGGGGTGGCTCACAAATAAATCAATTAAAATACTATACATTAACGATATAGAACAAGTTAGCACCTGCATGTCGATCGATCTTTCCTCCAAAGAACAAAGCAGGCCAAATTCAGTTAATCATCCGATCTATTCTCCAAGGGAGTCGAGAGCAAGGCCGGCTTTGCGCTTTTGTGGAAGTCTGGTTTGCACGCAGACCTACTCTTGCAGGCATCTAATTAACTCCACATAAAGCCTTTGCCAAGGCGTCGGAGCAGTGGTAGCCCTCAGAGTTTATCACTTTCCAAAAGATTTATGCAGCTCCATGCCTATTAGTGAGCTCTTGACACTTCCTCTGTGGGGACTGATAGCTCATTAAAAGCCCTGCGCAGCTGGGATCCCTGGGGAGCTAGGACTGGCTTAAACAATCCATCACATTGGTCTCTTGAGAAAGGCAGGCAGAGGGTGAGGGGGTGGGGGCTGAAAAGGCCACTGTTCACCCCGGCCTTCATACCGGAAAGATAAAAATAAATGAGAAATGTCTGAGGAAGGAGGAGGAGGAGGAGGAAGGATTGCTTCAAAGGCCTTTCTACAAACTCACTAGTTTCACCATAGCTAGCCCTCCCTGTGTCTGAATTGGATCCTGGGAAGGAAAGGTTACCTAGGGGAGAGAAGTATGAATTTGGATGACTAAATGAAGTCCATGGCTGCAGAGCTCATAAACACATAACAGAAAGGAAGTCCCATCTTGGCTTATCCACCAACATCTGATATTCGTAGAATACAGCTGAGGCATGGGGATCCCATGAATCGTCTTTAAACTCGATCATTTCTAGTTCTTTCATTGCTGCCCTTCCAAGCCCCAGCCTCCTTCGAATATCTCAGCTGCAGCCTCCCTTTGAATCGAAGACTGAACCAAGATCGGTTAAATCTTTCAGTTTCGCTTTCTTCATGGCAATTTCCCCGTAGTTATGATGTCTGTTTGCTTAAGATTCAGCCGCAGCCCTGCTTTTGCACTTTCGTGGGCTGTCGAGAGTTGTTTCAAGTCATCCTCTTCATCTTAGCACCACAGTGCCTCTCCGGTGCTGCCCCAACGGCTCCATTCTCATTCAGCTCTGCTTCGGTCCTTCCCCCTCTTCTGCATCCCGTTTGCTCTGCTGCCTTTCCCCACACTTGGTCTTCTCCCCTGTCATTGCGGAGTGTGAGGGGAAAATGTCCTGGATGCACGGGGGCCCCAAGCAAGAGAGGTTAATGGCCTGACTCGCTGTGCTCTGTAGTGAAGGCAGCAGAAAGGGGTGGGGAAAACCACAGACGCCGCTGCCCTGGGTTGGCTGGATGCGGGAGACGGATTCAATGAAACCGTCCCCACATGCCGCAACGCACAGCACAGCACAGCGATCGGAGGAGGCGGAGGAGGAGAGAGCTTCCGATCGGGAGCGTAGCTCTGGATCTGCGATGCGCTCGGGCTCGAGGCAGCTCCGGCTCTTCCGTGCCGGGTACCACGGTGCAGCGGTGGGATTTCTAGCCCCGACGCTCCACAGGGCTTGGTTTGTTCTGCCTTGAAAAGAAAAGGGGGAAGGGGAGGGGAGCAAACTTTGACAGCAGACGTCCTGCCTTCCAGGACTGCAGAAGGCAGTGGTGTCCGTGGATTTGCCCCCGCAAGAGGACTGCTGGATGAAGGATGCTCCGGGAAGGACCGAGAGCCTTGTAGGAACTCCAAGAGAATTGTACATCCTGGCTGGCACTGTGCCCACCGAGAGCTTGCATCGGATGCCAGGCAAGTCCTGTCGGGAGCCCTTCTGTCCCCTCAGTGCCCCGTCTCCGCTCAGATCCAAGATTCAGCTGTGCACAGGCCCCATCAGGCACTGGGAGCAGCCCAGCCGGTCTTCCCCACCAGTCCCCCTCCTGAGCACCGGATGGCCGATGGCTTTGAAAAGCACTGCCAGGACCCTGTTGGATTAGACCTGATGGCCCGCGACCCAGTCCCCTGTGCCTGAACCGCGCCTGCCCATGAGGGAAGCCCCCAGAGACATCTCCCGGTCTTCCCTGGAGGATTCTTGCGAGTGCATCACAAATCCAAGGGCAGAAACGAGCAGGGAAATCCCAGGGAGTGGGAGAAGCCATCCCTAGAGACCTCCTGTGAACATGTCTGACCAGGAGATGGAGGACTGTGATGGGGACAGCCTGTCGGACGTGTCGCGCATGATCCCGGGGCTCCCCCCGTACAACATGGAGGACCAGCTCCTCCCCATGGAGAGGCGCAGCACCTGTGGGTGTTGTGCGTGGGCCGGCCTGGTGGCGGCGATGAACTCGTTGGCCTTCCTGCTGAACGTGCTCCTCATGGCGGCCGTCTTCGCCATCGTCCTCCTCCCCACCGTTGTGCTGGTCTACTTTGGCTTCCAGTGCCACTCCCGGGTAAGTGGGGCATCGCCCCGATCCCTTCTCTTCCCCACACAGATGGGAGGTGAGACTTGATTCCTGAATGGGGCGAACGGGGGCCTCTGTACCACCTCTGTGTTACTCCTCCACGGGACGGGCACTCAAGGAGAAAGAGGAGGCCATGGCCTTCACTGCTCAAGTGGCAGAGAGTTCCACCGATCACTCCACTGGATGGGGAGCAAAAGCTCAAGCGGAGGGCCAGATTTTGCCCTCTGGGGGTTCCCCTGGCCTCACCCCCCAAAACTCAGTGACTTTTCCCGCTCCCTTCACTGGAGAGGTTCTTGGGGTATTGCACTCTAAAGTGCAATGTCGACCTCGGACCAAGAGAGAATTTGCACCTTCGTTTTGTAGGGTCCAGTTCCTAACAAAGGGTGGATTGTTGTGTCGCGTGTGACGTTCGAGTAGTGTGTGTTAGTCTTTCAAACGCTTGGTTCTTTAACCTAATGTCTTAATTTAACCGTTCCCCTGCAGTAATCTTTCACAGGTTTGAGATTCTGTTTAAGTAGGGCTGTGAACAGCTTTGGCAAAGCAATGATGAAGGGTGCAGTTCTATCGCCCCATGGCAGATGCTTGCAAGCCCCCCCCCCCCCAAGTTAGGGGATAATGAAGATGCAATTAAAGACTACCATCCACAGAGGGAGTTTCTGCTCTGCCCTAGCCTCAGCATTCTCCCCACTTAATGCCACTTAGCGGCACTAAGCACCCACAGGAAACAAGGGAAGGCTGAATTAAGCCATCGCCTTCTTCACTGGCACCCATGTTGGTTCTCTATGCATGCTCAGAGGCAGCATTTCCTAAAATCAGAAGATGCTCTGGGGGAAACGCAGATTCAGGGGAATTAGGCCATTTGGAGACTTGTCTCAGATGAAGTCCAAAATGTGGGACCCTTAGCAAGGACCACATGCCCCTATTACGGAGCTGTTGGTCTGTGGTAGAGGAAAGACCCCATGTAGGAAAGAGGTTGCGGCTTCCATCTCGGGGGCGATGCCTCTTTAGCCACCCGAAGAACCTCCAAACTCAAGGGAAGCGTCACCCCGTTTCCCTCTCATAAGAAGCACCTTTGCAAAAGTCTGGCGAGGCTGTCTTTGAGCACGTGCAAAGTACACACTGCCCCCCCCATGTTGTGCCTTCCATTCTTGTACAGAGCAAGGAAACAACGGCACAGAATACACATTTCCCCCATTTTTGTTGCCAGAGCCGTAATCACATCCTCTCCTGCTCAGAGCCTTTGCCAGAATGAACGCACCAGCCATATTGAAAATGCATTCCAAGAGAGTATTGGGACCAGACTCGGTGATGGGCTGGATGCGGGCCAGTCCTTTCAAGCTGCATCCGGGAAGATGGAGGACCTGGGGAGAGGTGGCTGCAGGCCTGGGAGACGGCACCAGTGCCCGTTCCATGGGGTTGCGCCCCCTTTGAAAGCCCAGGCTCACAGACCGGTGGTACTCCGCGATCCATCCTCCTTTAGGCATTTAGAGCCAAGCACGCACACCCGGCAATCTGCTCACGGGCCAGGTCGACGGACTTGTGCCTAACACCCCAAGCAACTTGGGACCAGCGCACCTGAGGGAACTCCTTCGAACCTGCCAGGTCCCTGAGGTCACCCAAGGACATGCCCCGGTGGGTCTACGATGCCGACTGAAGCCCCCCTGGAGAAGAGCCGTTCAGGGGCGACTCCCTTGCTGTAGCTCTCCTTGCCTCCAGCACGTTCGGGGAACTGCTGTATCCCAGAAGGCCTTCCCTGGCTGGAGGACCTCCTCGCTTGACTGATATTCCCGCTCTTAGTCTTCCTTTCTCTATTTCTCCCCTTGGCCTTGCTCTTTCCCTCCCTCTTTTAACTAGCCAGCCCCCATAGCAGCCATGATAGGACTAGCCATACCTTCCACAGGAGCCATCTTGTGCCGGTGCCCACGGGCCAGAAAACCTGGGGACTCGTGGCATGGAGCAATCCAGGCAAGATGAGCAACGTGTCTAATCAAGGGCCACTTCTGAGTTTCCTCCTAACGCGAGTTAAAATATTCTGCAAAAGGCTGAACCCAAGCGCACATTGAGCCCCGTGGAGAAAACCTCTTTCCCTGATAATACCAAAAATGCAAGCTTTCGAGACAGCCGCCCACCCAAATTGCCCTGCAGCGATTACAAAACCTCGTGACAATCGGAAGGAGCGCAAAATCTTGGTTCAAACAGACTTTTCAGCATTGATTATCCATCCCAATCTCTGCTTTGTTGTCACAATATTTCTCTCCGCCTCGGCTTCCACACTTCTGCCAGAATCCTGCCTGGAACCTGCTTTTGTCTGCCTTTGCCCACACAGACCGAAATCTGCTTAATTTCATTTTAATTAAGGCTGCTCCCTGCTCGGCTCAGTCTTAGCCATTTGTCTATTAATTAAAGAGGGAATGAAAAGAGGGAGAATCCAACCAGGAGTGGTGGCAACAGAAAACGAATCATGCCACATCCGTCTTTAATCACAGATCGCAGAACGCTGCATGTGTTCTCTGCCCACCCACAAACAGACGTCCCTCGATTTGTCCAAAATTGACAAACTAATTTTCTTCGCATTAAGTATTCTGCTGATTTTCCCTGCACGGCTGCTCTGCTTCGTGATTACTCTGCTTGGACGATGTGATAAAAAGGCGAGTCGTGATCTTTCAGTTTGAGTTCCATACCAGGATCGGTTTTACGAACTCGGGTTTGGCAGGGTGTGCCGATTTCTCCTCGCACAAATGCCATGCCCAGCGGGGATGATCCAGCGAGAAACGATCCTTCTCCTGCCAAGAGAGAATATGTACATGTGAACTGAACACACGCAGAATGCTATATGTGTTCTGTGTAGGATGGAAGGACCAGACCACGTGGTTTGTCCTGTGAAAAGTCAGTCGAGTGAGTGGGAAAACCCATCAGCTGCAGGGGAAAACAGAGACCCGAATGCAACCTTATTGTTTCATCCAGACGTAAGATACCTTTCAACACCAAGAGGTCTGTATCTGTTCTAATAGCGACTGATGAGTCTAAGCTTAGCAGCACTTCCACCAGAAGAGGTTCTCATTTCCTGTGTGACTTTCAACCAGCAGGACCATGGCAGAGAAGAGATAATTCCTGCCTGAATTAGCAGAGGCGCTCGCTACTTAACCAGGAATGTGATATTAGCGGCAGGCTACTAGAAACATCTCTACCGTATAATTAGCCTCAGTAGAAACCGGATTCTAATGCTAAAGTTTGGAACTGCAAGAAGAGCCAAAAGCAAGAACTGTAATTCCTGGCTCAGGGGGACATAATGTTGAAGTAGATTTGTCTCATCTTGGCATGAACCTCAGCCTCTTCAGTCCTACTCTAAATCCGAAAAGGCACACAGAAGCAGGTTATGAAGCCCATTAATAAGACTCTCAAGTGTACGAGCTAAATGTCATGACATGAGAAAAAAATGAACTGGGAGGGAGGAGAAAAATGAGCCAACTCGAACATGGGTTCTTAGTTAGAGAACACCATCCAGATCCAAGGAAAAGCTGAAGTCTGGGTCTAATTGGAAAAAAGAGCCTATTTATTTATTTAGAAAATTTCTATGCCGCCCCATTTGCCGAAGCCTCGGGGCAGCTCACAAATAAACGAATTAAAACACTATAAATTGACAATATAAAACAAGTTAACAATATCAAATATATATCAGGCTGGGGCCCTCCAGGTGCACCAGGACTACACTTCCCAGCCTCCCCTACCAGCTGGGGAAGATGGAAGTTGTAGTCCCACACATCTGGTTGGGGAAAACTGGGCTAAACCACACGTTGTCTCCAGAAGATCACAGAATAGTAGAAACGGAAGGGGCCAGAAGGTCATCGGGTCCAACCCCATCTTGCGATGGGCCTGGTCTAGATTGGCAGGCAAAACAGGGCTGTCTGTTACTCTGATCAACAGGCCAGTCTAACCTTGTATCTGGGGGTATAAAGCAAGCAGGCCATATCCAGGTGCTGAAATGTTACCCATAATAGGCCATGGAAAGTAGCCGTTTAAAAGAATGATTTTTATCCCTTTCATCTGGGACCCTCTTCCTGTTTCTCCAAGGTGCCTTTGATGTTTTTTTTTTCCTGCAAAAATGACCCACTTGAAAAATAAAGATCCCTGCTGAAGCGCAAGAGACAGGAGAGGTCTTGTGTATTTTGATTCATTGTACCACCGGCAACACTAACAATTCTTTCTGGATCTGGGTTGCTTTGCAGCTTTCCCACCTCCTCCCTACAGAAAATACTAAGCTCCTGCATGTGTCCACACTCCAGCATGCTTAAGGAATTGATCAATCCCCTTTCCCCTTTTTTTCAACTACTCTTACTGATTTAAGAGCACTGGCACCATGGGAGGATTTGAAGCATCTCATTACGCCATTAAATCAGCTCTGTTCTCACAGCGTTTGCTCTGAGCATGACCCCTCTGGAATCAATCAAGGAAAAACAACCTTCCGTGTGACCCCGGGTATCTCACGAACAGGCCATCCGAGGCCGAGAGCGCACCATGCATTCCAGAGATAAATTTCTCCCCACTCAGGCCTCACCCAGGAGCCGGCTGCGATTATACTCCCTCTCATTGGAGATCACTGAAGTTGAGCATTGGCAAATTAGATGGACTTTTGTATGCAGTTGAGCCCTGCAGAGTTGCTATCGGGCCGTGTATTGCTTGCTTTCCTGGGCAAGTGGAATTTTCCTCAATTGCTTTGCCAACTGTTGAGTGTAAGCAGGGTTGTGGGGTGGGGGTGGGGGTTCACATGGCCATGGAAGGTCCCTATTTCCAATTTTCATTTCATTCCATTCCATTCCCTGCATCTGCATTACTATCAGAGTCCTAAATTACGCGATTTCCACAGAATCAGATGGTGAGCTTGCAGAGAGGGGTGCTGGAGAACTCTGCAGTGTGTTCCAGCAGGTTTGGATGCTGAAGGTGGTGATTGACAGATGACTAGCTTTCCCCAAATTGCATAGACAAGTTTT